TATACGTTTACCGTAGACACGCTAAACTTTATTGTGGAGTTTGACAGTACACATGTATACAATAATATAATAAAATGCGAAATGAACAAAGTCACAAGCTGTTTAGATTTTTGGAATCGAAGTAACTGGAGTCTTACAAATTGTAAAAAACACCTATGAGTCCGGTATTTGATTAAAAATGGGAAGAAATAGAAGATTTACATTGTGTAAAATTTATATCCATTATTAACCTTTTGCCAGACCGGCCCAGTGGTCTCGCAGTCTGAATGCAAGAGCTGCGAACCCGGAAGTCCCCGAGTTTGAATCCGTTCATCACCCAAGAATTTTTTTCCGAGCCAGTTCTCTTAAACCGATTTATCGGTTGATCAGCGAATTAAGTCGGGTCTTCAAAAATTAATTCGAGCGTTATCCCGAATTAATCGGCCTGAAGGTTTGCAGTCTAGGTGTGAGGTCTGCGAGTAGAGAGGTCCCGAGTTCTCGAATCCTTATCTTTGGATTATTCTGGCCGATTCTTACAGTCGAATACGATTCTCCAGGGCAAAAGCTTCCTCCGGAAGTAAAACGCCCAGAAAGATTAGCTCCCCAGGGCGGGGCTTCCTCCGGAAGTGGACGCCCAGGAAGATCTAACTTATCGAAATACTTATTGAAATGCAAACTGAATCGGGGCCTCAAGGACGGGAGTCACAGAGGAACTCATAAAAACAGATCTAGGTGATAATTTTAAGGACTTTCGTAGTTCCCCCCGCTCCAAACATATCAATATCAGTAACCCTTTGCCACATTACCACGAGCGAGACTCGTGGTATGCTTTCGAAGCTCAAAGTAAAAATTACAAGTCATACTCGTTGTTGTTCCGAACTCGATTTATGACCTGAACTGATTTATACACCGACGCGCGAGCAACTGTCCCAATAGGCAAATTGTGACAATATTGCTCAAAAATGGTATCATAAATGATGACGATTTTGAACTAAGATGATTCGCCATAACGCAACGGTTTTGTCAAAATAATATTTTGTAAATAATATTTGTCAAAATCTAGAAAAGAGTCTCGTTATGCATTTCTATAAGTACATACATAAATTAATTTGATTTCTTCATATGCAATTATATTTCTACATGTTTTAAACATCACATAGCTATAGAAATATTTTTCTCAATTATTGAACAATTTCTTTTTAAATTTAATTTTACAAACATACTGTTAGGATGATTCGCCATATCGTTATTGTTTTGCCGAAATAGTATTTGGAAATTAATTTTGCAATAATATTATATCATTTTAATATTATATTGAAGTTTAAACTAAAACATAAATAAGGAAAGAAAAAACAGAAATAGGAGAGAATAGAATATATAATAAGATATGTATCTAAGAATTATGCGTCTTAAAAGTTCATATACAACAGCTTGCTCACAACTACGATCTCGGCACGAACGAGCAGTTACAATACAACGCTGTGAAGAGAAGAGGCTTTCTTTGTAAGCATTTTGTGACAGAGAGATGCGCAAAACCGATGAGTTTCCGATCCGAGGATATTCTCTGGTTGGACAGAGTAAAGCATAAGATCATTTGGACTAATAAGCATTTAGCATAGTTTTATGCTGTAAACGGAAAAAAAAGATTTGCTAGAATAGCAAGAAAGAATTAGTTACTATATGGCCAGCAAAAAAAAACATTTGTTAAGTTTATTAAAATTTTTGTTTTGCCAACAAAACATTTTGTTGATGAAACAAAAAATTTCGTAGAGTCAACCATTTTTCTTGCTAACCATATAATAGCAAAACTTTTTTTTTTCTTGTATTTTGTAACTTAATCTGACGACTTTATGTTAGATACTCATTTGTTCAAATGGTCTTATGTTATGCATATGCAGCTACCTATGCCATTTTGTATCCTTACACTCTTATCGAAACATGCGATTATCTCTGTAGTTTTCCGCTGATTGTGAGCGCGGGCGTTTTATCATCAGATGAAGAAGCATCACAGCAACAGCAGTTTGCTAATAACAATTACTTCTACGTAAATAATTAGTGTAGAAAGTACACTTGTCAAATTCTCGAGACTAATTTTTCATATTTTTATCTGTTTAAAACTTATTACTTTCAAACTGTATGTTGAGTATAATTATGAGGTTGATTAAAATCTTTGCAGTCTTCGTAGAAAAATGCAACACTATAAAAGCGATCGTAGCTAGATAACGTGATTATGAGTTTCTTCGAATTTTTGGTCGATGAAAGTTTAAGTTGTTCGATTGTATCATTGATCAAGATAGATATTACGCACCTGTCTTTTGTATTTGCTAGCTACGAAATTTTCAAGTATTCTCTGGATTGATGTGTAAACTCGAGGATTTGCCAAATGCTTTCTCAGATCTGAAAGAATATTCTTTCACCCGGGACCGTCTTGTAAGATAACGTGCTGTATTCATTAGACGTGTTTCTTATCCCATTTGAAAATAATACGATTTTACAAACACTCCTCATAATTTTCTATACGCAGTATTTTTAATTGTACTTTTTTTCAATAAAGTTATGAAATTTCTCTTGTTCAAACTTTTGAGTTAAAAATTAAAATCGTATTAGATGCAATTTGTGTCGGTAATGACAGCAATGGAATAACAAAAACACTAAAGAAGTTATCGAGATTTTAATTAAATTATAAAGTTTTGTAAACAACACAATTGCCCAAGAGAACAAACAACTAGACGTATTGTCTGACATGGCCTTTATCTTGCTCGACGCCTTGTCTCAGAAGTGTTTCTTTGTGTTCAACATGACGCACTTTATGTGGTATATAAAACATCTTTGTTCTTTTCTACTAATTCTAATTTACTTATTGTTATGACTGTATTTACAAGTAACCATAGACATTACTTTTGTAATCTATGTTTGATATTTTTTCAATTCTAACGTCTATGCTTATATGTCGTCATAACAAGGTAAAATCAAGATCCATTATCAGTTGCAACAATAAGTCAAGGATCTCGATCGTTGTATGACGTTGTAAGACCAAGAATGTCGTTTTTGTTTTGACCAAACTGTTTACTCGCTTTGATATCGATTTTCGAATTTGTCAAGTGTCTCTCAATTTTTAAGAGTAGGACATGTATGTTCCGAGCATCTGGTCGCAAAGATAGCGAGAAGGCTTTGGCCAAAATTTACCATTAGTAGCGTCATACAGACTTATTTGTTTTCGTATTACGATATCAAGAGCTTCACAGACGCTCAAACACGTGGCTAAAACTGCTCAGAATCATTGCAATGCGTGTCACAAACATAAGTTTAACAAATAATAATAATAAATGATACGGTGGTGCACCATTTCGCAAATGATATCGCAAATATTCACGTGAATATTAATAATGATAACAGATATAAGAAATCCAAAAAGGAGAAAAAAATGAGGCTACAGAAAGAGAAAGTCTAAGTGTATGACATCATTACATGATTCTTGTGATTCACCAGTGACAATCCACTTGGATGAACAGACAGAGAAGTTAGAAGTACAAGGATTAAATAAAATTCTGCAAGGTCGAGTCGTAATCAGCAACGCAGTCTGTAAGAAACTGATAACCGTCCTGCAATTTGCCGAGCTTGAAAATGAAATTTCTCTGAATTGATATTTTTCCGCGATAAATATGAAAACACAGTTTATTTGCGATAACAAATATACTTTTTCGTTATTGCTAACGATAAATAAACAAGAAAGAGATAGTAAAACCTAAATAAAAAGATTTTTTTTAAACTTTCTGATAAAGATATAGTAAAGATATCAAATAAACAAGTTCCAAATTTTTAAAATTTCTGATAAAGATATAGTAAAGATATCAAATAAACAAGTTCCAAATTTAAACAAAATCTTACAAAGCTATAAATAATCCACCGATAGTAGTAATAAGTAATAAAAAGTAGTTATAATAATGTTGAGACATTTTGTTCATTTATTCTTTTTGAATCTAGCCAATTTAAATGCTTATAAATATACAAGGTGTCCCATAATTGCCGTCTAACCGCTTGTAGGTAGATAGAAGGTTATTCTAAGACAAAAAGTTCTATATCACTTTGCAAGATTCGCAATAATTAACGAAATATTAATTAATAAAGATCCGCTAATCACAGCGTGCATCCAGCGTAAGAACAGCCCAGTCTGTCGCACTGTAGCGACGGAATGGGAGGAGCTAATAGAATAACGTGCATATATAGAGCAGCATATAGGTTGCGTTCGGGCAGCGCGTTATCCGCGCTATTGTATTCCGTCGCTACGGCGTGACAGACTGGGCTGTCCTTACGCTGGATGCACGCTGATTAGCGGATCTTTATTAATTAATATTTCGTTAATTATTGCGAATCTTGCAAACTGGTATAGAACTTTTTGTCTTAGAATAATCCCTTCTATCTACCTACAAGCGGTTAGACGGCAATTATGGGACACCCTGTATAAATAGATAAATGATTGAAATGTTCTACAACATTATTATAACTATGTTTCATTACTTATTACTCACTAAAATGGCTCATAATTTTATTTATGGCTCATAATTTAAGAACACTATATAATAGTTTAATCAACAATTTTGTTGTACATAGTATGTGTGTGTGTGTGTGTGAAAGAGAGAGAAAGCCGACGTTTCGTGAACTTTTTAGTTTCACTTTATCAGAATTAAAGCAGCTTAACACTATAAATCTTTTTGTAAAAAAGACTTGTATAAATCAACTTACTTAAATCAATCAAAAAGATTTAATAAATCAACTTGCGTTGTAAAAATTATCGGTATGTAGAAATCCTAGTATAACATCAGAGCACAGCTTATCAATGACGAATCATTGACAGGTAATATGTATGTGTATATACATAGTATATACATGTATGTATGTATAAAAAGCATTACAGCCAAGTGCGACATCTGAGCATCGCTTATCAATGGCGATTTGTTGACGAATTATACGTGTGTGTGTGTGTGTGTGTGTGTGTGTGTATGTATATAAAAAGCAGTACACAGCTTATAAAAGCTCAGTGGAAGTAGAAAACATTCAGTGCAGATGAAACACTTTTTTCATCATCGGTTTTACATCCTTTTTTTTATCATTAATAGTGAAACTTAATGATTAAAAGAAAATAGTGTAAACTTAATGATTAAAAAGAAAATAGTAGTTCTTCTTACATAATAATTACATTTAACTTGCACCTGTTGCTTGGTGAGTATAAATATACGATAAAAAAGAAATTTGTGTGTGCGTGTGTGTATTTACTTAATTATATTGTCACCAATAATATGTTATTTACAATTTACACTATAATAATTATGGAGAATCTGTTTTCTATATTCTATTTTTTACTAATTGTTTTTTATAAATATTTTTTTTAGTTTTGTATCATACTATTGTATTTCATTACAAATAGTTTTTTATTTCATTATAACAAAGTGAATTTTATGCGTCACTGTATACATATATATTTGATATGTTTTGTTTTATATTTTATATCTCAAAAAAGAATCTAATTCTGTCTTTTTCATAAGAGTTATTATTATTTTTTTATTAATATTATTAGTCCTTATAATATGAAACATGCTCATTTATAAATTGTGGTTTATTTTAACAAAATATAATTTATAATTACAAACTTATAATTACAAAATTGAAAATGCAGACTTAGCTCAAATCGATTTTCAAAGTATTTTAAAACTTTATTGCGCTTCTATAGCAATGAAGCATACTATTTTTTAAATTGCTAGTATAAGCATTTCCTTGAAATTCTTTAGCGAGCTTTTAATTCGATTTTGAAAAGATACAAAAACTTTTAAATAATAAAATATAACATAATCTAAAACCATACAAACTGATTTATTTAAAAAACTTGATATGTGTGATCTGTCATCAGGAACGCTTGGAGAAAGTGATTTTCTTATCATTTCTTCAAATTATTTGAGAATTTATATAACTTAGTAGTAATGGAGACAGTAAATATTAAAAAAGAGTTGAGTAACGATAATGTATATAATCAAATGAATAAAGAATTTATAAGTTTAAAGTCTCCAGATGAGAAAGTCATCAATGAGCATTTAGAGTTGGTAAGTAAAGTATTTTCATATTACTCTCTACAGATACAATAGTAAGTTATAGACTCGTACGCGAAAATTTATATATTACATTATGTTATGTTGTACAGATTTTAAAAAAATTGATACCAGCCATGAAAACCCAAAGCACGTTGTTCAATAAAACTTACCAAAAACTTGCTTATACGGGTAGCTATTTTAAAAAAACTCGAGTTGGAGCACCCGAGGAATTTGATTTAAACTTAATTATAAACTTACCTCTAAAAGAGAAAGATTTTGAGGTAAAAAAAGATAAAGACTTTATTTAATTTTAAGGCTTTTAATAAAATAAAATTACTTATATAATTTTTATTTATTTAACTACTGTAATATACAGTTAATTAATCAATGTAATATGCAGTTTAAAACAGATCATCTTGGTTATACTAAAATACGTATAAAAAAGGGGGATACAAATACGACTTTCAATCTTGATCAGAAAGCATATAAGTATGTCTTATTTGAAAAATATAAAATTTCTTTCTTAATATTATATTTCTTTTTTATAATAAAAAAAAAACTTTCTTCTGTTTCCTGGAATCAGAGAAATGAATACTTTTATTGACCAAGACTCATATTTGAACCAAAATAAATTTCGTAATTGGATAGAAGGAATTTTAAGTAACGTAGCCAATAGTAAAAAAAGTCAAAACGGTAAAAATAATCAAATTATTTTGGATGGAATTTCATATCCGGTAAGTTGTTTGTTTTATATTTTTAAATCTTATGATTTTCTGTAAAATTCATAGAAGGCAAGTTTTGACTCAAACAGATGGAGCTAAAACAATTGTTGATATGATATTAATATAAAATTAACAATATTTTGTTTTTTTAGATATATATAAAACGAAAATCAGGACCCGCCTTTACCTTATCATTTACACCGATAAAAAAACCGATTGACATAGATTTGGTTCCTGTATTAGCATTTCCGATTCGTAATCCGCCACCAGGATTCAACGCCAGACATTCTCTTGTAAGTAACACATAAAATTGAAATATTTTTATATGTTAATATAATATATTTCAAAAAAAGTGTACTTTATTAACTACATAATCAAATAAAAAGTTATTACTTAACTAATAAACTTGGAATTGAGGAACATTTATATTATTCAAAATAATTGATCATATTATTGACTTTAATACTTTGTCACTTTTTAAATCTAACAAAAGACTTTCTATTTCTAATAGTTATATAGAATGTATACCCACATTATATAGTTTTCTATTATTTCTGGAAAAATGAGATATTGATTGGTTACCGCGTTGTCGCGTTTTGTGTGCGGAAGCTATAAAACTAATTAAATCTGCAAAAGAATTCTAATATTTTTTTTTAAATATAAAATAAAGTGTTTATTATATCAATTACTATTACTATTCGCTTTTAATGTACGCATTTTACAGAATTCAAGTAGATCTTGGTATGCAGTTCCCAAACCTCTATACAGTAGCAAGTACGGGAACGAATCACATCGTTATTGGCGATTAAGTTTTTATGAACTCGAGAAAGATATTCTTGATGAGTATTATACTGCAAATCGTATAAAGTCTACAATACGTCACTTGAAGGTATAACGATATGAAATAATAAGAAATTATAATTTATTAATTTAGTTTTTATATATAAACTAATTTTTTAGTATTTCTCTTTTCTCTTATTAATATTCCAAGTATAACTTTATTATTTTGTAACTTTATATGTTTTAAGTTTGTTTTTAACGCTATATCTATACACACATATCCATTTTTGTGTTTTATTTATAATGTTAATCTATTTATTTTAATCTTAATATTATATACAACATAAAAATTTATTTTAAAAAATTTAACTTATAAAAACATTTTTTTTGTAAAATTTTAAAACCAAACACTTTTATTAAAAAGTAGAATTAAATTTTTTGTAATTACTAGCAATATGTTTGATACGTTTTTGTCAACTTATTTTATGTTATACAACTAATAATTGAATTTTCAGAAATTCAGGGATACGCAGAACTTAAAAAGTATCGCGAGTTATTACATTGAAACTTTATGCTTACATGAACGAAACATTTTTGTCGTAAATTCCAAAGAATCGTTTACTTTTTTATTCTTTACGGTAATGTTAATTATTACAATTCAAAAGTTTTTTGTTATGATTAAAGCCGTAATATATATTTTTAGATGTTACAAAAACTCCGCGACGCTTTTAAAAATAAGCGCATAGACTTTTATTGGGTTGCAGGAGTAGATTTACTAGAGAAAATGAGTGATGTTCAAAAGGAGCAGATAAAATGCAGATTAGATAATATTATAAAAGATATCGAGAGAAATATAAAAGAAGATAAGTTTGTGATAGCAAAATATACACGTAAGTATAATTGTTTTTATGCATGTGAGGAACGATTGAAACATAGTATTTAGTTATCTCTCTTTAATGTTATATACATTTAGTAAAATATATAAAATTATGCGATTTTCCTTCAATGTTTATAATGGTTACAGTACCTGCAAACGAATTTTCTAAGTTACGCAGCCAATTTAAATAAACCAAACAAATTAATAAACAAGAAACTTTATACACACTCTAACCAAACGAAGAAAACTGAGTAAATCAACAAGCAATTCATATGTAATGTTAAGATATACACTATACTATATACCATATTATACTATATAATATACTATACTATACTATACTATATAATATATATATAAAATACTAATTATGAATTCTGTCTGTCTACGAATATACAGTTATTAATATTGTACTTAATATAATAAAGTTATACTTGCAAAACTTAATTAATAAAGATTAATAATAAAGTTACACTTGTAAAACTTAATTAATAAAGATCCGCGAATGAGTGTGGATCTACGTGCAAAATGACAGCTCAGTATTTCACGCGCTCACGCCGTAGCAACAGAACGGAGAACTAAAAAGAAACGCAATAACTAATAATGTTTACACACAATGGACCTTGTATTTTTTTTATCAAAAAAAGTGATTTAATATTAATGTATCAAAAATGAGTGTTATTATTAGTTTTTTTTTATTATTTTTATTATTTTAGTTTTTTTTTTTATAGATGCACGCTCATTTGTCGAGGTTTTATTAATTGTGGTTCTATACCGTGCTATATGCACGTGCATCGATATTACCGCCATTGAGTTGCCGGTTCAAGTTTTCTCTACATGATGGATTAGCAATGCACGTGCATACAAACCACACATTGTGGACATAGCACGGAATAGAATCATAGGCGTGCGTGCACATAGCGTACGCACTGATAATCCGCTCATAGACATTAGCTACGTAGTTGCCAATGTTTACTATCGTGGACATAGCGAGCAAAGCGGAAAAGTGATAACTAAAATGCGACCGTGACTGCTTCGTCTCTCCTCTCTGATTACGTCCATAAGTTGCAAACGTAGCGACGTTTAAAGTTAAAATCACACAAAATAATTGTCTATGACTGTTCTCAGACGTTTAGTTTCTTTAATTTTAAATTTCACAATTATTTACTATTCAATTCAACTGTTCAATTTGCGCTGTTATTAGTTCCTGTCAATGAAATTACGCGCATTTCTGTAATTAATAAAAATCCGTTCTATAATTACTAAAAAATACCGCATATATATTTTTATATGATAGAAACTAATAATAAAAGTTACTCTATATACTAGAAAAAAAATCCTTTCACTTTTTCCATTTTTGAGCTAGAAAAAAAGTTACATGATCGACGCTTTCCTATGTTAGCTGTCTTATTATTTTCTATTATCTTCCGCTAGATGGTGCATGCTTCATTATTTTCTGATAGAAATAATTCTTCGGCGATAAATGAAAAACGCCATGTAAGCTTATATTTTGTGACAATATATTTTATTTTATATCAATGGAACAAATGAAAGTAATTTAATAACAGAGTTTAGAAAACTTTGCAGAAATACCATAAAAAGTATAGAATATTTATAAAACTTTGTCTTTAAGAGTATGCTGGAGCGTTCTGCTTGTGATATTATTGCGATATTATTTCAAAATAACTATTTGTCGTAACTACTACAAACAGAATAAAAAATACTTTTACAAAATAAAAACAAATAACGAAAGTGCAGTATACCAAAAAAAAAACATTTCAATTTTGTTTATACTATTGTAGGAATTTCTTAGGTTCGGATTTATTTAGTTGAATAAAACAAATTATTTGTTAAAATATTCTCAGTTTAATTAATTACATATAAAAACTTATACATTTAATACTGTCAGCGATACTCAATTTGTTTCGGAACGCGTAATCTTTTTGGGCGTCTTCTCTACATTGACGGATGCTTCTGTTGCTTCTCAGCATTACATCTTTAATCATTGATTGTTGTTTTGCTGAATTCGATTCATCGACGAACAATCAATGTACGCTGAGTAGGGGAAAAGGAAATTATTTGTCATAAGGACGGTCGCATAAATAATATACAATCTCATGTTGTGAGAATTCTTAGAACCGTAAAATATAAAATATTCGAGAAAACGTGTCTTAATAGAAATGTATACAATATATATAATTTTGGTTTCTACACTATTTCATCAATATAAAGAATAATAATAGTAAAAAATTGTAAAAATTAATGTTTCTTTGTGACAAAATTAGTGCGTTTGTTATATTTGAACAATAAAACTAACTTAATAAAAAAATTAAAGGAATTGTTTTTATATATACAAGATAGAAACTAAGGACAGATTTTTTAATTAAATTTAGTTTAAATTATAATTTGTTCTCACTTCTAAATATTTTGCACGTACACATCCAGACTTTACCAGAGTATGTATTATTATTAAATATTTCTTCTTGACGGCGGGTTTAGACCGGTATAACATATAATTCATTCTTATATTTATAATATATAAGATCACTTTAAGATGCTGTTGTATCGATTATACATCATTTGAAGATAGATTTAAAATTATCTTAAATAATACAAAATCCAAATATCGGTCTTAAGATCACTTATGATCTATAAATTCAATTAACAATAATAAAAAGTTTTGTAAACCAACAAGTTTTGTAAAAAGTAAAACTTTTTGCTACATACACAATGTATTAGACTAATTAGACACAACTTAATTTCTTTCAATGTAAAAGATAAATCAAAGAAACTAAGCATTTTTTTTTCAACGTTTGGCAACGTGTTTATTTTCGCGCGTACGCAATTTATTTATTTCTATAACAAAACAAGTACCGGCTGTCATTATCGCGCCAATTTATAATACTTTCAAAGACGCGAAAGTGGATATAGTAGAAGTCGTGTCCACATGTCTCTCTTCTCATTGCCGTGTGCAATGTAATAATAAATCATTACGTATTTTACGGATTATCAGACAGACTGTAGTGATGTTTTTATATGTGATGAGTGCGAGAGATGGCGTCTTATCAGCAACAGCATGCATTTGCACTCAGCAATAGCGATCAAGGCTCCACCTTTATGAATTCACTTTTCTTGTTATTTTCTGTGACGTCGTGTATATTCCACTTTTCGTATTTTTCTTCTCGTGCGTGATCTCTGTTTTTTTTTTTTTTTTTTTTTATTTTCCGTTGCTTCCTAAATAATCTATTCGCCAGCGTGCGCGATAATGCGAATATGAGCGATCATGCGACCGCACGTTTCGCGTCGTATCCGTGAAAAATAAAAACTAGAGATAAAAACATTCGAGATAAATGACAGAAATAAATTAACGTGCGAGATCTGGTTGATCTTTGTCAAACGCTTCTGAACAATATTATTACAGAATTTTAATGAAGAGTGACTGTTTTGATAATGATGTGAATAACAACGTGTACAGGTATATGATATCAGAGATGCATCGATATCGGATCAGTATCGCGTGCAAACGTCACAAACGCGATATCACGTCATATCATTACGCTCATAATGAAATTTTGCAACTAAAAGATCGTGTAATTGCGAGCAATAATATTTATAAAGCGTTAAGAAGAAGAATCGCGATAAAATAAAAGTCTAGAATAGTAAAACGATACATTTCGATTGAAATATGTCGATATTGTTGCTAGTTTAGCACGAAATGTATAAACTATATAATTTACTACGTCTTAAAAATGTCCCAAAAACCAAAAATACATAAAGTATTAAAAACTTTCGAAGTTCACACTTGGAAACAAAACAAACACGGCGTTAATAAAAATACAAAAAATAGCGCGAGCTTAAGAGATAAATTGTTAATTTTGTGTTTCTCGTTCGGTTTAAGAGATATAAGAGATACTCCCATGCCCATAAGGTAACTGTCGAAAGATTTGCCGATGTTTTTTTTTTTTTTTTTTTTCGAAGCGGTGGTCTCGAGACGATATACCAGATTCCGTGTCGCCACGTTCTCCGCGCGTGGGACGACGGGCAATCGGTTGTCTCGCAACTTAACGATTTCCACCAGCGAAACTTCAGTAAGTTCAGAATCAAGAGAACTTCACGGACGATGATGTTGCGAGGCAACGAGTAGGTGTAATGTCTCGAAAGCGAGCGTATAACCCGCTTCTCTTGCGAGCGAGCGATTGTCACGAAGCCGTTGTCGGCGAGACGCCAATGATGATGATTACTCATCAGCGGCACTTTGACTCAAAACCTTGGTCTTACTTTTTTGCGCTCTGTAATATTCAATCTATTTTGATTGTAGAAATGTTGAATAGATGCAATTGCGTAGGTATACGTATATACGAGAATTTATCCTGCATGTCAAAGCAGATAATACGACGTAAGAGATGCACTACTAGGCAATAAAGATAATCTTTATCGTTACGAACATTTATATTATCCGGCGGAAATTGTATGGCACACACACACAACGCGCAGCGTATGGTACACTTGACTTAATCTCGCGGCAGAATTTTAGGAAGTTCTCAAGCGAATATTTTCTGTGTTTATTGTGATTTTATCGTGAATAAATCGCGCTATAAGTCATCGGATAAATCATTTTCTCTTCGACACAAGCAGTCGATAATCTGACAATTTCTTACGGAATTACTGTACGCAGTTTCAATTACACCATCATCGGTTTGAGTCAACTTTCGCGCGAAGACTCTTTGTACAAAACACCCGGTGTCTCTTTCTTCCCCTCTCCCTCTCTCTCTCTCTTTCTCGCAAGGAACATATCTCGCCGACTTCGACGGAGTAAAGATCATCGTTTTGGCAGAGGTCACCGTACAACGAAGGACTTTAGTGCCGGCGGTATCAAGCGATTCTCGAGGCCGAGGCAAACGACGACGGAATCGGCTTATGGCCGGTTTTTTCAAGCGTAATGTCAGTGGTTAGCGACGACGACTACGGTTAGACCGCTCTTCTGCGGTCTCGTGGCCGGTGGGCGTGGGAATAGTAGAAACTGCGAGCGCACGCTTCCACACGGGACGCCCCACTCTTGTGTCCCCCATCTGGAGAGCGTTCCATTTCAAAACGAAAGCGCGATCTAGAAGATCACCGTGCGATTGCTCGTGGCACGATCGACGCCCACGACGTAAGACGGCGCCGAGTCCCATCAAATGCGGCTCCAATTTTCCGCGCTCCAACCACGAGCGTGCTTGCGATATCTCGAACGACATCGCTTGTGTGTATGCGCTACATGAACATGCCTGTGCGAAAAGTTTTGAAACGACCGTATCGCGATCTGATACGATCAAGCGGCAAAATACGTATCAACTAAGATTGCTAATCGTCCATCTGCACACATTCCACGGATACCTGTACTTTCTTCCGCACTGCTGTTGGATGCGGTGAATCGATCTACTGTACG